GGCCGATACTTTAGGCCGATACTTTAGGCCGATACTTTAGGCCGATATAGGCGTTTGGAGACATATCAGTATCTATGATAATTGTCCCATTATGCGCTGATAGAAACACTTAATTTTCACCCCTAAATGCTGGGAACCAGTGTCCTTACATGTAAAAGGCGTAATTGTACAATGTATCCAGCAGAGGACAACTTCCAAGTCATGGCCGTTCACTTTAGCTTTAACTTTCACTTTCAGCACAGCCAAAGCAGCGAGCAATAATGTGGATCATATTTTGCTGAACAGAGCATGGTAAGTTTATTTTAACTGATCTGTAAAATAAAACAATTCAACAATAATAAATTCTCTTCAACCCTCCAACATGCTGGTCATTAGCTATGTGCCTCTCAAGTTAGCAAGCTAACGTTTAGATAACCTAGCATAGGCTATTGCCTTGTAAAACTTTAGCCAGAATAACAAATCTAATGTAGCAGTAAAATATATCAGTATGATATATGAACTTTGTTTAATTTAGTTTTATAAGACACTCGATCACTTTATGGCGAATAGAAAATATAAACGCATGTTAGGAAGACTGTTTCAAGACTTCAAGTGTTAAAAGAGGTTTAAAAGTAGCTGTTTACTTAGATGATTGGGGCCGGACAAAGCTAAAAAATTTCAGCCATTATATCAGTTATCGACTTCAGCCTTCGGCTCCCACTATCGTATCAGCGACAGCCAAAATGTCCATATCTGTTGGGCTCTAGTTTAAAAGCAGTTTGTAGTTGTGAGACAAGTCCAGTGATTACCCCAGTTGTGTTTGAGGTGCTTCAGCAGAGGATTGGCAGTCTTTATAGACCTCAAGGCCACGTTGGTCTCCTTGCAAAACAACAACAACATGACAAGTCATGAAATAAAAAAAGTGCACTCTGCTTGTTCAGTAACGCTCCACTAAAAGACAAGCAGCAGAATCCTCTCGGTGCGTCTGAACGACGCCTCCTCATGACCGCAGGACGGTGCCGGCGCTGCGTGTGAGCACGTGTTGGTGTCACCACTGGATGTGTAAGTGGGGGTGCTGGTGAAGTTGACAGACTAACTCCTCTTCTGTTGGCTCTTGGATCTGCTCTCTGACAAAAACAAAGCAAAGCGATGAGAAACAGCAGATCATAGCGTTAGCGTTGATGGTTCTGAGACGTCCAACAGACGTTAGCTTTGACCCACTTGAACATGAACTGAACAGAAGTTTCATATCTGATCTTCTCCACGTCTGTAACAGAGCAGCTGTGACTGCGGTCCCACTTGTAGATGAAGTTCTGTTAGACGACAAGAACCCGTCACCTTCTGCACATTCAATATTCAGCTCATTGTTAAGGCAAAAGCACAACAAGTCTGATCAGCAACAGTTTGTCATCTTTCTTTTTCACTTGAAAATGAATGATCGGTGCTAATTATTCTCTAACTGCCACACTTTGAATCAGTGGTTTTAGAACAAACCAGTAAAACAACCAGTCAGCTTAGGTCCAACAATTTTCAGTCAGGTCGTCTGGACAGTTTTTTTTTTTTGTGCTGAAATGTTTCACCTTCCATCCAGAAGGCTTCATCAGTCAAGGAAACACACAACACAAAACTGATTCTTCCCCTAACAATTTTCAGTCATCTGCTTACTCCAAAGTTTGGAGTAAGCAGATGAATGACTGAAAATTGTTGGATTATACCCGGATTACTGAGCATGGACTTTGCTGGTTTTGAACCATTTTGCCATGACTGTCGACGAGGGAGAGGGCCGGCATCGGAGGAGGGGGCGTGCCAAAGACACCATTTTAGCACCAACATAACTGGTTTGTTCCACTTTGGAGTAAGCTGTTGGGGGAAGAATCAGTTTTGTGTTGTGTGTTTCCTTGACTGATGAAGCCTTCTGGATGGAAGGTGAAACGTTTCAGCACAAAAAAAGAAACTGTCCAGCTGACTTGACTGAAAAATGTTGGCTTGTATACCTGGATTATTGAGCATGGACTTTGTTAGTGAGCTTAGGTGTTAATTTTTTTTAAAAGATACAAAATAGCACTTTAGAAACAACTACCGTACATGTACTGCTGAAATATTCCGTACAGCAATGGAGGCTATCAGCTACACCTGATGTGGTAGAAATACGTGGCGCTCGGATGCATCAGGCTTTCCTAACAGATCAGGTACAAGCTGAACATTCACAAGCACCAAAACAAACATGAAGGAAGTAAGTTAACCTGCAGGAGTCCTGGCTCATTAATCTGTATGGAATTATTTAAACAAATACATTTCCACTCTAAAACTGTGAAGTCTTACAAACGTCCTCAAGGCTCACAAAGATAAAACTCAAAGGATGCAGACCTCAGTAGATATTTTTTGTAGTAATTGGCTTGCATCTAGTGTAATTTCAGTCAATTTCATGACATTTCGTGATGGTTTGCAGGCTGCCCTCTGAGCAGAAAGAAGCTTTATGTGTAAAACAAACAGCAGAACATTTCCAGCGGTCATGGTAAATAGAAGACTCCTACTGTTTCTCTCAAGTGAAAGGTTTTACAAAGAGTCTTAAAAAGAGGCAAGCCTGGTGAACAGCAGCACACACTAATCTAAGCCAAAATGCAGAGTGTTACATTAGCATGTGGAATTGTAGTTTCAGTGTGACGAGCAGGACTTAATTTGAGCCGGATCCTGCCAGAACAGGATCCTGGAACTCTTATTTTGACAGGGTGTGTTCCGGTACCTGTTTGCTTGTATCTGGTAACTCTCAGGATTACTACTAATAAAGTTATGCACAAATTTGACTGCCTCAAACAAATAAAATATTGGACATGTAATCTGAAAATAATTACATAATTTTAAACACAACAGCCACAAGCTTCCTAATATCACTTACGCCTTTTAAAAAAATCTCTACCCCTAAAAGTTCATCATGGGCAGTTAAAAACACAAAAATATAAGTAAGCAGCACAAGTAAATAGCAAATCAGTTTTACAGTTTAAGTGGGTCATTAATAAAATTTCGATTATTTCTTAAAAATATGAGAGAAATGTTTGATGGGTAATCACGTTACGACACATTACGTATCAAAACACAGGCGCAAATTTTTTTTTATACAATCGATCAAAATGTTGAAAAGACAGTCCAATTTACTTTCATTTAAAAAAGTCTTCTCATTATACAACTAAACAACCGAGAATTGAAGCACATGAAGGTAGTGGCAATGGAAACAGTACTTGATGCAGTGGGGGTGGGGGGTGGGATGCTTGAGAGAAGTGAAGCGTGCTCTTTTCACACAAGGGGAGCTGTTGGTCAGGCTACTTCTTGTGGAGCTATTAACTCTAAAATAGTTACTGAATCAAGTGTTTACTTATGTAGGTAAAACTAGACATTAAACAACCATTAAAATACAACAGAATGCAGGAAATGGCATCTACAGTACTTTATTCAAAATTTTCTGGGGGAGAACCTCCCCCACACACGCACACACTATTTGTGTTCTGGCATTGTTGGGGTTACAAATTAAGCACTGGTGATGAAGAAAAAAAACTGAACAGTGTGTCTTGTTCAGAGAAGTGCTGTGGAGAAACAAGAAAATAGCGACACAGTTCAGGTCTGCAAAGTTGCACCTGAACAAAACATGACTACTGGAAAAATGTCTTAGACAGATGAGACCAAAGTGAAGATGTTTGGTCATAAACTAACGTCTCTGATAAAAAAAACAAAGCATAGAAACGCAAATGCCACCAGCTGTTAGTCACGGAGGTGTGAGAGCAATGGTTTGACCTGGACACCTGGGTGTTCTAGAGTTAAGTGTGAGATCGTATGCTGATGATTTGCTGGAATAGTTCAGCAAATCTTCAACAGAATGGCTGAAAAAGGAAAGAATGGAGGTGCAGTAATGGTCCAGTCAAAAGCCAGACTTCAGCTTGAATGAACTGAGTCAAGAGTCCAAACTTCTCTACACGTCTGAGGAACTGATAACATTATAGAAAAGAGTTATTGTTGCTAAAGGTAGCTCCACGAGCCGCTGACTCATGAGAAGAGATTAATGTTTCACACACCGTTTCTGCATTTTGACAGAGTTTTTATTTTATAAATAACAAACATATTAAAGCATTAATGTTGTCTTACTGATCGGGGACTCACCTCACTGGTAAGGACCAGACAGTGTGTGTTTATTTTATACATATAACCAGTGGTGTAGTCTACGCGATACACGGGTATACGGAGTATACCCACTAGAAAAGCTTAAGAATTTCAGTATAACCACTTAAAAGTGTCCAGTGATACATGATATGTGTCATTGATACATTAAACGGCAATTAAATGCTTCCGTAGTAATCTGTCGGTATGCAGTGCTTGTTTATTACATTTGCTTATGCAGCAAATTATTGTGTCTGTACCTACTACTTAATACTTGAACATGTTTTGCTTTGATACTGTTTTATAAATTCTAAAACATGTTTTAATACAAAACTGTTGTACAAAGTTTGCTGTACATTTATTCAAATATAAGCATCAGAGAAATTTGGAAATATTCAATATGCTTAAAAATCAATATACATTGATGATTACATTGTACTAACCAGTGTACTTTGATTTCTAAGCACAGTATATGGACAGACCACGGTAAAGTTAGCTTTACGTTGGACATTCGCGTCTCATGGCTTCAACGGTGTCCAACGTAATACTAACTTTACCACGGTATAACCACTACATACATGTAGACTACACCACTGCATATAACTGCAGCAGCAGCATGAACTGGCAACTAAAATCCTCACTGGGCAACATTTTCCAGCAGCGACACGTTCACGTTCATGTTGGAGCTCAAAGTGTCCGAAGTTCACGAGTGAACTCACCTCTAAGATCAGCGCCACGAACAAGTTGACCCACATGACTGAGGAGGTGAGCCACCAACATACAAAGTAGATCTTGGACCATCTGAGAGAGAAGAACAAATAATCGTCAGCATCACAACCAAATTACCAACAGATGTGCTTGTTCGTGGTTTCCATACTCGGTTGTGTATCTGCTGTAGGCGTCGATGAAGGCCTGCCAGTTGTTGACTATCATCACGTCATAGAGCAAAATAATTGCAGCCTGAGCAGAGAAAGGACGGTAAACAGCAGTATCCTGTTCTGTCTTTGATTTAAGTTGCAATGATCTAATCATCTCAAGTCTAGAAGTAAAACACCAGTCTCATTCCTGCAGAACCTCACTGACGTCAGTGAACAAGGCCAGGCTGATTCTGGCAGATCCTGTTCACCCACTCCATGGTGAGTTCAGGTTACTTCTTCTGGACGCAGGTATCTGCTGCCCAGGTGTAGGACCAACAGACTGAACAACTCATTCATCCCTGTAGTGATCAAGCTTCTCAATGAACAGTGATGATTTCTGTACTGTTATTTTAAAGTCTTGTCTAGTATGGATGTTTCATGTGCCTGCTGACGGTGAAACAAATTGCCCCTCAGTGATAATAAAGACTCTTGAACTTGAACATTCTAACCAGCACATTTATCAAGTCGGTTTGTTTCTGCAAAGATGAGCTCAGATAAATAAATATACTTGCACACTTTGACGGAGTAAAACACAACAAGTTGAAGAAAACCGTCTGAAGGTTCTTGCTACTCACAGCAAAGTCATCAAAGTTGTTTGGCCAGTAGCCCAGCTGCTCGTACGTGCCGCACGTCACGCTGAAGTTAGACGTGATGTTCTCCATGGAGGAGTTGGAGTGTACACTGAGACACACACACACACACACACACACACACACACACACACACACACTATCTGAAATGGTTGAGTAAACAACACTGATGTTTACCATCATTATGTCATTGCATGTAAACAGATGTTGACACAATGAGAAACGTCATTTTAAACAGCAGGGCACATTCTACAGGAGTCAATCCTGTTTCTGTGCTAGCAAAATATGCTATTAGTGCTCAGTGTATATTTAGTTAATGTTTTTCTTAGTTCATATCTTAGATGTTATTACTGTTTTTCTTTTACATTTTATTGTTGGATGTCACTGGGACCCTGTGTACATAATTTCGTTCGCACCACATGAACCACATGAGGTGCGAACGACAATAAACTCTGAATCTCTGAAAATTTCTCGTGAACCACTGGGCCACCACAGCTAATCAACCTTAGCAGACACAAAAATGACTTTGACTCGGTTCGATTTACAGATACTAAGCCATCACAGCGTGGTAGTAGCTGAGAGTCAACCCTAGCACATGTTCTGAGAGCTAACAGGTGTCTCAAGGCTAGTGTTCAAAACTTTGGTGTGCAAAGCAGCAGGAGATTTGCATTTATTTAAGACCATTTTAGTTCTATCAGGAATCAACTGCTTCATGGCCCCAAAGTGTTTCAGTAACAATAAAACGGTGATGAAAAACATCCTGCAGTGTCGTATGTTTTTATCACAGAGGACTTCATACCTCATTTCAGGAGGTTTTATTGCTCCTTCAAACAGCCAGATTCCAAACACAGCAAACACATAGTACACAACCTGCACAAACACACATTTTTAACGTATCATTAAAGAAAATTAGACAGAGAACTGACTTTTTTTTTTTAATTCAAACCTGAACGTGATTGTGGAATTATTTAATCTCTTTGACAAGATGGTCCAGATAAAAGATTTTCACTCCAAATGTCTGCAGCATGTCAATTTTATCAGACAGAAAAAAAGGACTGAAGTGTAGACCAGATGCATGAATCATGGTGAGTTCAAAGGTCACTCACCACCAGCACTCCGGCAAACGCCCGCAGGTTCTTCACCAGGTCCAAAACAGTGCTTGCAACGAGAGCCATAAGCTGCAGGAAAACAAGGCAAAGTGTGGACATCAACCTCCAATGGTCCTGTAGCATCAGTATTGTTCAAAAGATAATATTTGGTTTTAACTACCGTACTTATTGCTGTATAAGTCACACCTTTTTGCATAAATTAGCATGCCCTCTGACTTATACAGCGAAGCAACGTATTGTTTTTTTCCCCCCATATTTATAACCAAATTTTAGGCTGAAATCTGACGATTTCATTCATTCTGACATGGAAAATATTGAACGCTACCATTTTCAGCCAGTAGAGGCAGCCAGAGTATATGGCAAGTCAAGTGTCTCATTAATAGGTAAAAGTGGCTACTAATGAGACACTTGGCTTGCCATACCTAACCACCTTCATCTCGCTCCAGAACTCCTGGAGCAAACGTCAAATCAGCTGCATTTCGCTGCACCGCCCAGGAGAACTACAGCTGATTTGACCATTAGCATGCATTTATTAAGGAAAAGTTAAACTGAGACACATCTTTGTAATAATGTCGAGCAAACAAATAGTTGTTGTTGTTGTTGTTTTTTTTGTTTTTTGTTTTTTTTAATAGATGGCCTCCCTTCTCCCCTTACAGCCATCCTCTCCACACCATTATTATGAAATATTTATTATAGTGACTATCTAGTGTAGGTTTTTTTTTTTTTAATAGGATAGAAAGAAAGAAAAGACAAAGTAAGACTCCAAAATATAAGAAATATACACAAAGAGAGCACACGGCAAAACACCCGGCCACTGTCTGTTCACCTGCAAAGAACATGACAAAACACAGCAACAAAATACATATGTATAAAGAACTTAAAATATTCATGGCTTTGCAGTAAGTTTCCATAAATATATATACCCATACCTACGCCTATATACATACATACATACATACACATGAATATACATTCACATACATATCTATATATCTACATATAAAGCCTACATAAGCATCCCTGCTTCTATTTGTGTGTGGTTGTGAGCATGCATAAGTGTATAAGGCTTCTCTAATAGAACATTTAATAGTAACTGTGAAGCAGCAGAGACCCGACCCCCAAGACCAGAGGCAGACGAAAAAGGGGGGACCAGAGCCCAAGACCCCAGGAGGGACCCCGACCGCGGAGCCCCCAGAGCCACCCACACAGGACGAACCACTCACCCACCCCCCCAGAACGGACCACAGGGGAGAACCGGAAGATCCCCACCAGCGACCACATACAGTGACCCCCCGGGGCCAACAGCGACAAACTCATAGGCCTCCATCGGCACCCGCCGCACCGATGTAGGTCCAGGTCCAGGCACCGAGGCCCGGGCACCGAGGACTTACACCACCCAGGCCAAGGCCCGACAGGGCCAGAGGACCCGAGCCCCACCAGGCAGACACCAGGCCGAGCCGACACACGCCCAAGCGCCCAGCCCCCGACACCAAGGGCCCCAAGCGCGCCGGCAGGCAAGGGCACACCCCACCAGGGGGCCGCGCGATAGGTGCGCGATGCCAAGCACCCCCAGTTGTATCAAAGAGGGGGCAGTCCGAGTCTCGGCCTAACAAATACCCATTCATACACAGACACAATCACACAATCCCAACCTCAATCTCACATTCACTCACTCAAAGACATACAATAACGATACATTTCATTCTTATTCCCGATACACACTCTATACCCCCCAGGTCCAAGACATGTACCCGCCCTCTACAGGGGGCAGCCCATGCCCAAACCCAGGAGGTAAACCCATTCATTCTTGAGCGGAGAAGAGCCAATACCCCAGATCCGGCCCAGGCCATGCCCCACCGACAGGACACCCCCCCACCATGAAGAGGACACGCCACCGACCACCCCCACACACCGCCAACAACCAAGCACGCACCCCCAGCCGACCGCCCGCCAGGCCCCGGCAGCCACCCCGGCCAGCGGGCCAACCATGGCACCCAAGAGCCAAGCTCAGGGGGTCCAAACAACCCCAGGGAGAGCACAGCGCCAGCACCGCCCACGGCAACCCCCTAGACCCTGAACCCCCACATAGTCCTGGTCAACACCCGACGGCCTGCCCTTCTCCCGGACCCCACCCCAGGAATGGCAGTCGAATTAATAAACTCGTTCTCAAAAGTTTCTGATTATTCTATAAATTGGTCAAAATCTACAGCTTTTCCAATAAACTGCGTGTTTAATACTTCTCTCAATGAACGACTACAATCAGGTAACATTACATACTTGGGCATTAATATTTCTCCTAGATTGGAAGACTTAATAAAATTGAATCATATCCCAATTTTAAAGAACATTGAAGATGATCTTACTAGATGGAAATCTCTTCCCATATCACTTATGGGAAGAGTTGCCTCAGTAAAAATGATGGTCCTGCCGAGAATAAACTATTTATTCTCAATGATTCCAAATAAACCTTCAACTGAATGGTTTAAGTCACTGGACTCTTTGATATCTAAATTCCTTTGGAAAAACAAAACTCCACGTATTAGCTTAAAAGCATTACAGAAATCTAAAGATACCGAAGGATTAGAACTTCCCAACTTCTATCGCTACTATTTAGCCAATAGGTTACAATATATCTCAAAGTGGTTAAATCCAAATACATTAGATGAAACTTGGATAGACATAGAACAAACTTTATGCAATAATATTAAGATTTCAGATCTACCGTTTATTAGCACAAATATAAAAAGACATGTTTGCTTTAAAAGCATCAGTATTAGCTCTTCTCTGACAGCATGGTGGGAGTATTTGAAAATGACAAATAGTTGTTTTTAAGTGTTAATCTTGTTAAATCATAGGCATCACAACCATTATATGTGAAGGGGACATGCCCCCCCACATTAAAAAAATGTTCATTTGGACCCCCACCCCACCCCCACCTTTACTATAAAAAATTAGTTCAGGCTGCGCAGTTTCTCTTTCTTCGTGAACAAATCCATTCCACTTATTAATAGGAGAATACTCAAGATACTAAAACTCCACTTCAGGTTTTCCTGGTTACCTCCAGGTTACCTCCAACTCTAACACGGAGCAGAAACTGTTCAGGCAGCAGCTGCTGAGTCTCCTGCTTCGGCAGAAAACATGCACAAGTGAAGGAGATGGAGACACCTCTGTTGTTACTCGCTCACCAGTTTAGCAGCTTAGCGCAGGCAGTTGTTGACCAGGGGGTTGATCATAAACATATATTCATGTTAGGAGGATGCTTGAGAAGAGCTACGTCTGTAGCATGTTAGCTTAGCAGTAACTGTGACGCTGTAAGACGCTGCAGGTGTAAGAGACGTGGTGTGTTCAGGTGCTTTAAAGTTGAAATATCTTTAAAACCCCACACCTTATTGTCCTCAAGCTTCATGACAAACATCATTTAGATGAGTAGTGTTGAACACAAGTAAAAAATGGTGGTGATGTTTTTTATTTCTCTATAAAGACAAATAGTGCTGACCTGACGCTCTGTGTTAAAGTGTATTAAAGTTAAAATGTCTTTAAAACCCACAGCTAAATTTACACAAACTTGGTGAAAAACACATTTTAAATGTGTGGAATTAAAGGAAATCTAGGTGAAATGTTGCTTTTTTGTACACTAGTGTACAGTTTTTTACGCACGCACACACACGCGCACACACATCAGTGTGTTACCCCCACATTACGAATGCCTCTTACGCCCTTGTGTTAAATTCTTGTTAAAGTCCTCCCATGCATGGTCCCACGGCCGCCATTTGGCAGCCAATCAAATTTTGGCACAACACCGGCCCACATTTCCAGGTGGTCAGTGGTGACGCACAATCGATGCAACTTATACGGCGAAGCGACTTATTTATGTTTTTTCTCACTTTATTAAACATATTTGGACTGATGCAACTTATACAGCGGTGCGACATGTACGGTGGAAAATACGGTACAAATTTCTATTCAGTGACAATTTTAATGGTGTTTTGTTTTGCCTAATAATTTCAAAATAAAACACAATTGAAATCTATTTTTAAATGGTCATAATTTTATGGAGGAAAAAAACGGTTTCATTATTCTCATGAAATGTAGGGCTTTATTGTAAAATCATTGTTTAACAATGTTTAAAACAGACTGTTCCTAATTCTTCACGGGTTTTTCACCGTATAGTTTTGCTTTATGTCAAGTCTTGCCATCACTTTTCAGCAAAGTGATCATATTAATTGTAGAATTCTGACACAAGAATGTTTTAAAAATTGCACAACAAAACAATGCAGACAAGTTGCACATACTGGTAATTATTTAAGAATCATCTTTTGAATGAACAAATTAACTTTTTTGTTTTTATCCCTTAGGGAAAATTTTGAAGTGCTAAACTATGTAATTGGTGCTGCTAACTAATCCTACAAATTACACATATTTCAGTTTTATGGCAAAGCCATGGCCTTAGACTCTAGCACACATGTCAAACACAAGAGCCGCGGGCCAAATCTGGTCCCCCAAGATAATTCAAATGTAAAATATTGTATCTCTTATATTTTTTTCTTTAACAAAAACCTGATAAATACATCATTTAGTATAGACTTCTCTTGCTAGCTGGCTAACTTTGAAGCCAGAAAGACGGCTGGATCATTCTGTCATTACTGGTTCTGATGAGGAAAGAGCAACAGAACGTCAAGTGAGACAGATCAAACTCTCGTTCATGGACCTGCAACCTAGAAAAGATATCAGGTATCTGACTCGAGTTAGAGGAAATGTCCAGTGCTATATCAAAGTTCATGCTCATTAATCCAAGTATAGATCCAACAATGTTCAGTCAGGTCATCTGAACGGTTTCTTTTGTTACAGAGACGTTTCATCTTTCATCCAAAGGACTTCTTCAATCTCAGGAGCCACCAAACCAAACTGAACCCCACAAACAGCTCACTCCCAGAGTGGAAAAAAACAGTTTGCTGGTGATAAGACGGCCTCCGGAGTTGATAGGGGCGGGTCCCGGCGGCCCATCTTATCTCCAGAAAACTGTTTTTTTCCCACTCTGGGAGTGAGCTGTTTGTGGGGTTCAGTTTGGTTTGGTGGCTTCTCAGACTGAAGAAGTCCTTTGGATGAAGGACGAAACGTCTCAGCAACAAAAGAAAGCATCCAGATGACCTGACTGAACATTGTTGGGTCCAGCACTATGGTTTCATGTAGCTCAGAGTGTGAGTTTATTCAGAAATACAGCAGTTTTGTAAATAAAATAAATGAGTGTTTCCAGCAGAGTGTAAACTGGATGAAGGCGAAGCGTCACCCTGATGATTACCTTAATGTTTGGGATGATGCGCAGGAAGCGGAACACGATCAGCATGTTGACCAACCGGATCATCTCCCACAGAGACAGACCACCATGAGAAGAGGGGTCCCTGTGCTCAAACACACACACAAAGTTAACACAACTTCAGACAACAAGTGTTTGAAGAAAACAAGACATATTGGGCAGCATTTACAAAAACAGAGATTCAACAGACATTAAATACAAACTTTAAACTCCAAGCCTTTTTATGAAGGGCCCTGAATATATTAAATATTAGTAACACAAGATGGTTCATTTGCCTCCTATGTATATATTTTAGAGTCAGAATAAAAGTCAAAACATGCAAAACCTACCAGGGTGAATCAGGAAGCCTGTAGCTGATGAATATAGAGATCTGCAGCACCTAGTGGGAAAAACATACAAAAACACATGGTCAATTTTCACTGTTTTGAATTAACTCTGCTTTGAGTCAAACTAAATAAATACTACAAAATGCAAATAAGTGAATATGATTTGTTTGAGTTACACAAAACTCAAACTTTAACAAAGTGATGGTTTTCTCTCAACAATCTGCTCAAGTGTTACTTTCAGTAAACATCTGCAGTCAAGAGAAAGAAACACACACACACACACACACACACACACACACACACACACACACACA